TCGTAAGTAGTTTCATTGGTACTCATGCAAAACATCATAAGTAGTTTCATTGCTACTCATGCAAAAATACACAGTTATAAGTATTTTCATTGATACTTATATAAACATACCTTTAAGCAGTGCGGCATGACGAAGACGAGTGGTCGAACACAAGATCAAAATCACATAATCACATAAACATGTAATTTACACATAGACCAGTCTACAGAAACACAGACTAGCTCTGATACCAAACTGTAACGTCCCACTTTGATTTTAAAGAAATCTCAGGCTTTCCAAAAATCAGTAAACATTTTTCGAACTCATTTTCGTAAACATGGGCATTATTCGAAACATTTACATATACCAAGTTGTGTCTGGTCGCACGGGGATTCATTACTCAGTTTTTACATGGTTTTTATTAACTCAAATCACAACATAACTCACATGTTATTCAGCTGAAACACAATAGCATGAATAAACAAATGCACATGATAACCAATCCAAAATAGGTTCATCATAATATTCCAAAATCAACAATTTCAAAGCATGAGTTTGAAAAACATATCATCATGTCTCAACCCAAAACGAGGTTCACAAGGACCAAACATTTATTCAAAAGCGGTAGCATAGTAATAAAGCATAATCAATAAACCCACTCACTCGTCTTTTCCTCGTCACTCGGCACCTGCTTAACCTGCATCCGTGAAGAGCAGGTGGGAGTGAGCACAAATGAAAACGTAGTGCTCACCACTATTCACATAGACAATATATTTAGTATGTTAAGATGGTATGGTCGCAGCATGAACACAAAATAATATCATCATGTCTCATCTCCTATCAAATCTCACTAAATCACATTACTCATGTGCACATCTATCGCTAGCCGCAGAACGGGGATTCATTACCTTAAGGCGGGAGTAAATGCCACGCTACAGACACGGCCTTCTATATGGGCTAACGTACCTCACAAAGGCACAACCATATCAGGACTTAAGGAGACTTGCCTCGCAAGGGCAACCGTATTACATCGACGGGGACAACCGTACCGACAGCCGTAACATGTCACATCGATAGGCTACATATTTCACATGCACACATTGTTCATACCGACTCAACAATTTAAACACATATGGGATAGACTTTTCAGAATAACGAACCCACCTGGAATAGCAAGAGATAGCACAAAGATAAAAGTAGGCAGCGAGCTCAGCTCGTCAAGAACCTACAATAATTCAAGATACTACAATCAACATCTTATTTTGACCTAAACATGGAAACACAAATCATACTTAGTCGAACTTGATTCAACTAAGTCGCTCGTGGAGTTCTGTGGACATTGGAACACTTGGACTAAGCACTTAGACTCGACTCGAATCCATTTATGGGAAAACACATAAATTCAAGTAAGGTTGACTAAGTCAAGTAACATGGGGCAACATATATGCAAGTTACATGGAAATTCACACTTTAACAATATGAGCCTAAACTTGCAGAAATCGACAAGATATCACATTTTCAAGTTGGTCAGGCCAATGAACTAGTTAGGATCTAACATTTTAACACGAAATTCTCCGCACTGAACATAGCAATTTCACCAAGTTTCAGCCTTAGCACTTAAACATGCGATTTTATAAAATTAAAACAATATTTCAGCGAAAACAAGCATGAATTTATCACCCAACCTAATGAACGATTTAAGTTCTGAAAATTTAACACCAACAACTTCAGCATGCGAGGTACAACATATAAAATTTTTAGCTCCAAACACCAAACACACGGTTTATAGAAATTCTGCCAAAATTCAACAGAAAACTCATTTCTTTAAAAACCTATCATAACGAACATAATAAATTCTGATTTTTTTATGTCACATAACACAACATAACAGGAGTAGGCATACCAAATTTCAGCAATTTATAGCGAGGAACCGATTTTACATAATTAAAACAAGTTACAGCCCAGAATTCAAAATAAATAATTTACTTAGCAAATGGATTCCAAAAATTCTGAAACTTATACACAATGACAAAACATATCAGATGATCGACATATCAAAATTTCAGCATTTTTGTATAACAACTCTGATTTATATGAATTTTCTAAGTTTCTGACCAGAAACTAAAATCGACATTTAACAAGGCTATAAGAGGAGTTTCAACTTGAAAATTAACACAACATATAACATCATCAGTGGACGTCACATATCAAACTTCAAAGCATTTGGACCAGTACACAATTTATCATGAATTTAACAAAATTCAGCAGCTAGATCGGTTTCAAGAATTTATATAGAACTCAAAACACACCAAATTCATCTGAGGCCTTCACCATAAGGCCAGGGACTCACATATGTTTCATAATCCACATCAGTTTCACGAATTTGATAAGATTTCACATGATCTCACAAAATCAATAAAATCCCTTCATGAAAGCAATAATAATAAGCCTTATTCAAGCATATATTACTAAACCTATGTTTGGTTCGGGAGAAAAGGAGGGGAGGGGAAGGGAGGGGAGGGAAATTTTTATTTTCTCCTTGTTTGGTTCAAGTTTTTGTAAGGGGGAGGGGTTTGAATTTTCCCTTCAATTCCCTCCTCCAAGGGAAAATTTGCTCTCCTCCAAAAGTGAGGGTATTTGGAGGGGAGGGAAAATTTTAACAACAAATTACTCTTTTGGCCTTACTGTGAATTTTTTTTTTTTATTCTTACATCATTAAGGATATATTTGTCATTCTAACATTATTTTCCCTCCCCTTCCATCTTCTAACCAGACAAGGTTAATTATTTTCCTTCACCTCCCCTCCTACAAAATTCATCCAAACAAGATAAATTATTTTCCCTCCCCTCCCCTCCCTTCCATTAAATTCCCTCTCCTCCCCTCCCGTCCTTTGAACCAAACATACCCTAAGGCATCAAAAAAATTCACATATACACATCATAAGAAGGGAGGTGAGGCTGAGAGTACCGTTCTTGGGAAAAGATATGATAAACGAGCAACGAAATGGCCGAACGGGGCTGAAACAGGCGCACACGAGGGGCTCGACAACTACGTTTGGCTCGTCGACGGTAAACGGTGGCTGGGAGAGGTTGATCGCGGTTGGTCTGCTGGCTCGTGGACGGGACATGTGAACTGTAACGACGAACAACGACCTGGGACTTCACACGCGACGGGACAACGATGAAGTGCTTTCGTGTGGGGCTCGCGAAAAACAGACAATACGACGGGGATAACGCGTTCATGAGGGACATCGGAAAACTTGCTCACGGAGTCTGGTCACGATGAACAACCGCGGAGGAGCATGGCGGAGCAGCAGGACCGTCGTTGGAGGCGCACGATTGAGTCAGATGGTGACGACCACGCACAACGATAGTGTTAAGGAATTCGCGACGGCCGCTGGCCGATGAGCGACGGCGGAGGAAGGGGTTTTGATCGGATATGGCGAGAGAGATAAGGGAGCAGATTCTTTCTTTTCTCTGTTGTGTGAACTTGAGAGAGAGAGAAGGTGTTTGATGTCTGCGGGAACGTGAAGGAGCTCTGGGTTCTCTCACCCTTATATACAGCTAGGGTTACTACCTACTAAACTTGGTCACCAAGCAACAAAGAGAGGGAAAAAGGACCTGGTATGAGCTCGCGGTGGACCGTGCGCGCGGGTTCAAAGGACTCGGTTTAACACTTACGTTATTTAAACGTTCAGTTCGACAATAATTAAAATAAAAACGGACACACACACACACACACACATATATATATATATATATATATATATATATTACAATAATATATTTATTTAGCACATTTAAACAATTAAAAGCAATCAGACAAACAATAATAACAATAACGCAATAATATATCTAATAAATAATTTCAAATAATTCATAAACAAACGGGGCATTATAGTTGTACTGTGCTCAGGCTTAGAAAAAACATGCGTCTTCAGAGTCTTAGAGATTCCGAGGAACGTGAGGAGGTTGCTCGGTTTGCTGAATGGATTGCGAGCATTGGTGATGGAACTATATGAGGGTCAAGCGATGGTTGTGCAATGGTTGACATACATGAGGATATATTGCTTCAACCATCAGATGATCCGATTGGTCAAATTGTAGACAACACGTATCCAATGTTTAAGAAGAAAATCGATGATCACAGTTATTTGAAGGACAGGGCAATATTAGCACCGACGCTTGATATTGTCGAGTCCATCAACGAGTACATGACATCGTTGAATTTATCAGATGGTAATACGAACTTGAGTTCCGACAGCACTTGCAAGTCGGACTCTAATAATGATTTTCTTTCTGATATCCATACGCCCGAGTTCTTGAATAACATCAAATGTTCTAGAATTTCAAATCATCAGTTACACTTGAAGATTGGAATCCCTGTCATGTTATTGCGGAATATGGATCATTCTCTGGGTTTATGTAACATGACACAGTTGGTTGTGACAAAACTATCCGCTAATGTTCTTGAGTGTAGGGTACTGACTGGGGATCACGAAGGCGAGAAGGTGTTGATTCCACGAATGGCTATAACTCTTTCTGATGTCAGAATTCCTTTCAAGTTCCAGAGGCGACAATTTCCCAATATGGTATCATATGCCATGACTATCAACAAGAGCTAGGGACAATCGTTATTGCATGTTGGTTTATTTCTTAAGGAGCCGGTGTTCAGTCATGGACAATTATATATTGCTGCCTCTCGTGTCACCAATCGAAATGGGTTGAAAATATTAGTATGTAATGACGATGACTTGCCACCAAATCAGACCCAAAACATCGTGTACTGTTTACTATTTTATGAAGTTTTAAATTTGTTGTTTTCCATTTTATATTGTTACATATCTATAAAATGCAATAAGTTAATATTAAAAAAATTTCAGAATGATATACCATCCCGTTCATCGCATGGGTGAGTCAGTACTAGTACAATTATAAAGAAAATAAAAATAAAATAAAGTTTCGTCGTCGTCCTCGTCATCATCTATCATCTCCCTCTATCCCTCTTCAGAATCTCCTCAAATGGCCTTATTGCGCCACGCGCCTCTTATCCGCGCCGTACAGTTGCGCGCCCTAACAGTAATTGCCTGCGGCAGCAGTGCAGTCACGACCTCTACAGTTGCCGTCAACAAGAATAGAAAAGATTCTTCCGTGCTCCTCGGCATGTCCGAGCTCGATCTCCAACAGCTTGCCATTGAATTTGGTCAGGTGTGTTATCCAAGACGATCAATTATTTCTCATTTTTTTTTTATTTTATTTTAATTCATGTGGCAGCAAAAGTATAGAGGCAAACAATTGCACCATCTGTTATACAAGAAGAAGGTTAAAGAAATTCAGGATTTTAGTCAGGGTGAGGTGGCTGTTTTACAATTAAGTATTTCTTCTTGTTATTCGTTGGATGATTTTGGCTAGGCTGACTGCTTATAAAACTTTTTTTTTTTTTTTTGTTCATTGTTTATTTTCGATTTTGTGAATTTTTTTGAGCAGTGCCATTGGCATTTAGAAGTGAACTGAAGGAAGCTGGGTGGACTGTGGGACGGTCGCAGATTCATAAGGTGGTGACTGCTACTGATGGTACAGTTAAGGTGAACAATTTTCTGCTTTATACTAATGATAATGAAAGGAAATCTAATTTTCCACCAAAAAGGAAAAAATAGAACAAAACCAATAAAAAGATACTTCTCCGAAATATTAATTTAGATACAAGTGATGTGCTTATGCAGACCATGTTTGTGGGTGGGCAAAACTTTACTAAATTGAGTGTATGGGATGCCACCATTATTTGCTTTAGCGAAAGCTTGAGAATCACAATAGTGTTTTTGGTTGGTTGATTTTTGGAAGTTGAAATTGGAGAAGACATAATCAATTTTTAGCAGACTTTTAGTACGGGATCTCTACTATTTAATGCATACACAATATACTTAACAATGATGTCTGTTTTTATCCGTCTCTTGAGAACAAAAACCAATCTCTCATGTATGTTTTTACGGTTGCACCCACTTCTACCAATATTTTCGTTGTGGCTCATGCCTTTTTCAGTTGCTAATTAAACTGGATGATAATCGATTGGTGGAGACTGTCGGCATACCCGTTGAAGATGACAAAGGTTCACTTCGATTGACTGCTTGTGTCTCATCTCAGGTGACCTTCATGTCAAAAGATTGTCTTTCAGGGATTTTATTTTCTTATGGATTTGAGATTGTTAATCTCTATTTCACTTTGGATGATCAGGTGGGTTGTCCATTACGTTGTTCATTCTGTGCCACTGGTAAGGGAGGTTTCTCGAGGAACCTTAAAAGACATGAAATTGTTGAGCAGGTTTGTTTATACCTCTTCCTAAACTATTAATTTTGAAGATATCATGAGGATTCTCCTGCATATTTTCTATTTTTTTATTTTTTATTTTTTTTTATCTATATCTATATTTATCTATACAATTATAAAGAACGAGTGGTTTTGTAAAAAAAATGAAGTACCTAAAAACTTCTTACTTTGACATATTTTTAATGGAAAATTAGTAATACATTAATACTCATCTTTTTTTATATTTTTAAGTAATAATTAATATTCTACGTAAAATACCCTTAATTTTGACATATTTTTAGTGGCAAATTAGTAACACACAAGTACTCATTCTATCTTATATTTTTAATTAATAACTAATATTTAACTAATTAAATATAAATACACGAACAAAACATTCCGAATCTTCTAAAAATCAACCACACTATTTTGCACAATTATTGTTCAAGAATTTGCTTTCTTCCACATAGCTCAGAAAGTGTTTTCTTCCATATCTCCCAAAAATCAACCCAACATCAACGCACAAAGTTTTAAAAGGATATGAAAATGTTGTTTTGTAATATATCATTATTTTTAACAGTAAAATCGTAATTATATTTAATAATTTGAATATATAAAAGTTATTTAAAGAAAACTGATCCAACAAAAACAACATAATAAATACATATAAAGAATTCAAGTATTTTTAACTATTTATTTACCTATCTACAAATTTAACAAAAAATCTTGGTAAAAAAGACAACTTAGTTGAGGCTTGTATTTAATAAATAATTTCACAGATACATATTTAACTTTAATTAAGAGAAGATAGCTAAAATTTTACAAAATAATTCACATATGAAATGTATGCGTAAACTAAGAAAATAAACTCTCGTATTTAGAATTAGAATTTAAAAATTGCATCTTAGTCTTATTAGATCGAATTTTAATCCAGCAAAGATTGTCATTTATTTATTTATTTGTTTGTTTGTTTTTTTTTTTTCTAATTTTTGTCAATAAAGTTGACGAATCTTCATCTGACCATTACGTGGTTATTATCAAGTTAAGGAATATTTTAATTATGAACACTTCAAATATTTGGACTTTTTCATTCAATAATTAACTAAAATATATTATTTTATATTAATTAATAAAGAAACAAACCTATTAGTTAGCACAATTATATTAGGTCGGTTAATTAGTTAATAAGTCAGGTTAATTAGTTATGATAAATTAGCCATGGCCAGCTGAACTAAGGGTATTTCACTCTCCCCTCTGTACAAATGCATCATCTTATTCATTCTTAATTGACATACACAGTTATCTGTTTTTTTCATGCTCATCTGTGTCTTTTGTTTTATCCTTATTTTTAATATAGACTAATATACAAAAATTCTTATAAGAAAACCGATAAAGATCGTACAATCATGAAGTCCGACTATATATTTAACGATAATAATTCTATGTGTTTGAATAAATTAGACGTTTTGCCAAATGAATTACGAAGAATTTTGCAAGTATTGATGTATTGGGCTCCAACGGGTATTAATGTTTCTTATAAGAACGTCAAAACCAAAATTAAAGTAAATTATTTTTCAATCATGTAATATAAATAAATAAAAGAACTAATGCATTTATAATATACATTATGTATTTATTTAGTTGTTTTTATTTTTATTTTTTTATTCCATTAGGGACTCATTTTCATATTTCTTTTTTTGTTGGGGTTCTAATATGTTATTTCATTCCTTTTATTTTAGGACATCAGTATATTATTTATAAAAAAATTGGAGTTCATTTGTTCCACATTTTGTTCCTCAATGATTAATAAATTTATTAATTTATGTTACTTAATCGGCAAAAAACATTCACCACCACGTGCATGGCACGTGCACTTACTAGTTCTTAAAAAAAGTCCTTATCTTTTGTATTCTTGAAGAACTATACGTGTGTGTGTGCATATGTGTGTTCGTATGTACAATAGACGTCTCTTGCTACTTGGGAACCGCAGCTGCATTCCTACATACTTATCACTTTCTTGTATTATTACTTCCTCGCCGCAGAGCAATGACAACTGTCATCTTCATTATATTATTCTGAAACACAAAATGGATAATATAAATTGGTAAAAGTAAAAGGTTGCAGAAATCAAGATGTTTAGTAATGCTTCTATTTAAAGGATAGCGAGAGAGATTTAGCACAATTGAAACCGAAGTCACTGAGAATATAGACGAGAATGAGATGCTCCCATTCCTTCAATTCTGCTTGTGGGCCCTATTAGGAACCTGAACGAACTTGGAAATAGAAGGCATTAGATAGTCTTGCAGGCATGAATTACTAGTGAAATAACCTGTGGCTCAAAATAATAGAACCAGTAAGGGAAGATGGGCAAAGTAGAATTACCTTTCTTGACATGACACTTGTTAAAGATGAGAAATAGAACACGAAGAAGCATTGTTGCAAGCAATCTAAGCTAGTTTAGGGAAACTTCATCTCATCCCTACACATGATAAATCTCACCTCTGGAATGTACTGACCCTAATCCTGCTCAGGTTTTGGCTATTGAAGAGATCTTCAACCGGAGAGTGACAAATGTGGTATTTATGGGAATGGGAGAGCCCATGTTGAACATGAAAGAAGTTCTTGAGGCACACCATTGTTTAAACCAGGTAAAAATGATTGTCCTGAACAATCCATCTATGATCTGTTTTGATAACACGTTTATTACGTGCTCAATGTTCATTTGTGTATCCAATGGAGAAGAAAACAGTTCAATTATGAGTAACGGGAAATAAAATGGTGTTAGGGTGATGGTGTCATACATATGGCATGATTCTTTGGTTCATTTGAGATGGTTGTGGGTTGGGAAATAATCATATGACATATCAGCATTAGGTTCAATAGTTGGGTTTCAGCACGTGTTGAATAAAAACTGCTTAAGCAAGAGAGTTGTCGTATATATGATAGAATCTCAGTCGAATCCAACAAGCAAGATACTTCAGCAGCAGATGGAAAATAAGAAGCTGTGCTAGATAACTTTTCAAAACTGTTCCTTTTTGTCAATCCGACGTGAACATTGGCTCAGTTGGTGCCAGTTGGCTGTGATTGGACAAAAAAAAATTTCATTTTTGTTTGTTCAACCAAGAATTATTTCATTGAAACTGAAAATAAGACGAGTTTATATCAAAAAATACTATTAATTTCATCTCACTTTTTCCTGTACATATCCCACTAACACCATCAAAAATAGAAAGTTACCATTGTTATATATCCACTAACACACTTTTATTCACTCACATATTTCTAACCACCAATATTATCTATCAATATTTTGGTACTTTTTAATGATTACAATTTTTTTTTTTTTTTTTTTTCTCATGTCCACTCTCATCTCAAATTTATTTCATTTTTTCTAGAAACATTTTATTTTATTTTTTTTCACTTTTACAGGCTGAACAAATTTTTGAATAAATCTTTTATTACAAATTGCACTTAAATGTTCACACCTTTCACTTCGAAAATGCTGAAGTTTCTCATTATGAATCCTAAGGCTAACTAAATGGCGATAGTATTTCATGGAACTTCGGATAGCTATTATACTGCTAAAACACAAAATTAACTAGTCTGAGTTGAACCATGTAATTTTATTCTATAATCATGAATGGTAACCAGAAGCTTGAAGCTTCCTAGCTCTTGCCCAAAAACGAAAGACAATCTAATTATCATAACCTACCTTGCCTCTACTTGCAGATCTATATTTATTTTAGGTAAAAACTTCTGTAGGGCAATCCTTTGAATTCATGCTTACAGTTGACCCAGTGTCTTAATTAATAAGAGAGAAAAGAAGTAATCTCCATCGTTGCGATAAACTTATCCATGATACTAATCCACCATCTGCGAAAATTAGGCATTTTTAAGTATAAAATAATGGCTTCTCCTGGAAGTGTCACTTTTAGTATTGTCTAATGTTTTTGACACCATGTAGTTTCTGTAAATGAGTATTCGCGCATGCACTAGCTGTTGAATTAAATTGCAAGAAGCTAGTTACTAAGTTTTCCGGAACATACTTATTTTGATTTTTGATAGGCAATTGTGACCCTTTTTTTCTCTGGAACCGACTATTACCAAAAGCACCGTATCTGTTTCGTCATGAGGTTGTTCAAAACATGAGAACAAAAAGATTGTTTCAAAAGTGAGTTTTCTCACTTAAATTTTTCCGGTATTAGCAAGAACTGCTATATTTGTTTTGTTTATGATTTCCTTAAGTGAGAGAGAGAGACAGAGAGAGAAAGAAAGAAGTGACACTTTTCTTTATGAAAGTGCTTTAGTATTACAAAATGTGTAGGACAAATACAAAATCACATTTATGCAAATATAAATATAAAATATAATATAATATATATATATATCATTTTATAAATGATATATTATATATATAAATGATATATGTATTATTGAAACTCACCGAAAGACGGCTGCCGACAGGAGAGTATGAGAAGGGAGTCGTGGAAAGAAACAGATAAAAAGAATAAAAATTACACTTGTATCATACAAGAATAAAAAGAAAAAAATGGAATATATGAGATGGGTCATTTAGATCAGGCTGTAGCATTATACTGGATCCATATGAAATTGGTGTCATATGGGTTGGGTCTTGTGTATTTGGTTTTATAGGTTGGGCTATATGGTGTAGAGATCTGTATGAGCGACCCGTTAGATAGAGGATTTGTAGGACAATCATATGAGAGAGTAACTCAGTCTAGTATCACCCAGTCTCTGTCATTGGCATTAAGCATTTCTACTTGTGGATATTCATTGCCTAACATTTAGGTGGGGTCACACTTTGGGTAAGACAATGCCTACTTTAGTTGTAAATGTAAGATGGGAATGGATAACGTAGTACGAGGTTCTTAACTTTGTAATCATCTTGGTATTCAAGTTCAACATATGTGATACCTTTCATCAGCTTGGATATTTTGTTTCATTTGGTCTTTTGCTCGTGAATATGAGGATTTCTAGTATCTGCGAGTGCCCTTATCTTACATAAGATGAATAAAAAAGCGTTGCACCTGAAACTAAATATACTGATATTATATCAATGCCTAAAGTATGATCTTTTATGGCTTTAAGGATGTTGGAATTGGGCAAAGGATGATAACAATTTCGACTGTTGGGGTTCCAAACACCATTAGGAGACTGGCTTCGTACAAACTTCAATCGACACTGGCTATTAGGTAACGGTCTCAACAAGCTAACTTCCATTAATACATTCAACAACCAGCACAACTGTAATTAGTAGTCAGTCTCCCTTGATTGTATCAGATGGTATGACACTCGGACCTTTGTATAAATAGTGGTGTGTTGTTGTGATTACCTGAATGCAATTTCACTATTGGCATTCTCATCCTAATTGTATCTTCCACCATCAGTTTGCATGCTCCCAATCAGAAACTCCGGGAAAAGATTGTGCCAAGCGCAAAGTCATATCCTTTGGAAGCAATAATGGAGGACTGCAAACACTACTTCCTTGAAACGGGCAGACGTGTGTCGTTTGAGTACACACTGTTAGGTATTCCGGCAAATTAGTGAAGAGTCTTGCATTCAACAACATAAATCTGATTATCGTCTTCCTTGATACTGCAGCCGGCGTGAATGATACTGCAGAGCATGCGATAGATTTGGGCAAGCTTATTCACAAATGGGGTCCCGGATATCATGTTAACCTAATACCTTTCAATCCTGTACAAGGCTCCGAGTATCAGCGTCCCTCTAAAAAATCAGTATGTCTCTCTCTGACCTCCAATCCTTAAATTGCATATGCTGCTTGGTTGCTACTAATCTGCGCACAGATTCTTGGGTTTTCGACAGCTCTCGAGTCTCGGAAAATTACTGTTACTGTTCGCCAAACAAGGGGACTTGATGCAAGTGCAGCCTGTGGGCAACTAAGGAATGACTTTCAGAAAATCCCTTTTCTTGCTGATAATGACGTGGACCAATCTGGAATACAGGTGGCAGATGCTTCTTGAAATTTTTTGTTTCACAATGGTTTGCTTGGTGATGTTCTTTTGTGGATTTGTAAGTGCAGTACATATGACATTAATTTTGTCTCAATGAATTTGGCTACAAGGCCTTGAATACCAGAGTATGCATTGGTTCCTTAGGACCAGTCCCCAGAATATGGCTGTTTATGAACCCAACAAAAGCTTGTTCGTATTCGATTACAGCTCCTTCGTTTGTTAATCGAGTCGAGTTTGAACAGAAAATTAGGCTCGTTTAATAATTGAACCAAAACAAGCTCGTTCATCAACATTCGATGATAATATTCGCGAACATTAATTTAATATAGCTTTATTTTATTTTTTGTATATTCACATATATTTCGAGTTAATCAAACATATTTAAAAAGTTTGTGTTAAATTGTTCGAATACGAACGTGCTCAAACTTCGACGAACAATTAAATGAAAGAGCTCGAATTTGATTTTTTTTCTCAAAATATAAACGAACGAATATGAACATAATTTGAAGGAAAACAGACACGACTTCGAAATGCTTAAACTCTGCTTGTTAGGTTTGATTACAACACTACTCAAATATATTATTCCATTATTAAATTATAGAGAAATTTTAATCTATCCTACTAGATTTTGAAAAAATTGCAAAATTACAATTTATAAATAAATAATTACATCTCTACCTAATATGTAATAAATAACTACATTAATGCCTAAAGTAAGTTACTATATTCATTCAATCTCCATCCCCCTGTTTGTGGGTTTGATTAAGGGGAGAGAAATAAAAATAATAACTGATTAATTTAATTCCTTAATTCACGCAGTCGTAGGTGGTATATTTTGCGTTTCAGTTGGTATATATTCAGTATATGTTGCAATGAAAAAAAATATGTCTTCCATAAAAAAACTATGTATTCTTTTTTTTTTTTTTTTTTTTT